TTCTTGTAACTAACAAACAGTAAGCGCCACGGTCCATTTCTTTTCGTTTGGTCCATTGGTCCAATTCTTTTTAAAATGGTCCATTTGCCTTTTGGTTAGGTTATTATCACCCTTTCACTTCATGCAAGAGTTTCGCGTTTTCAATTTTTTCTATTTAGTTGATCGAAAAGATAATAAACATCTTGAAATTATTACATCTTGAAATTATAATTTAAAACTTTAAATAATATAATGTTAATAATAGTAGCAGCATACAAGCTCCCAAAGAGTTTTTGGTGAGTGTTGCTGGAGTGACAGTCCTTTACCAAATATAAACCTGGGTCGTTCCGATTACGTAGACCCGTCGTGGGAACGAATATACAATTGTAATGCACTTTGGATGCAATATAAAAAAAAATCGTTATAAAATCTGAATTGGCATATTTTCTTGATAAAGAGGAATACACTCCACTCAATTTCCCCATGTAATAAAAACTGGTCCATTTTTTACCATTTGGTCCATTTTTTGGTCCGAAAAATAAATTGGAAATGGCAAACGTGATAAGCGCATTCGCGCTTTGGTATCCACGTCACTGTTGACAGTTATAATTCCAAGATAGCAGAGAATTTCGTTTACTTGGGAACCATCATTAATAATAACTAGTATCGCCCAGTTGTCGAAATGCGACATTTTTTCATACACTTGTAAATTTTGCTTATCACCAATATTGAACGGGACCAAAATCCTTTCCCGGTACTCCCGATAAAACCGCAACCTCCGAAAATTAAGAAAATCTTCCTTAAAAAATTTTTATGAGAAATGCACTTTTTATATTTTACTGGGACGAAAACGAACAGCAAAGCAAAACAAAATAATCGGAGGATGCCAGATCTTTCATACAATTTTTTTATTTAAAATTAATTTCCAAGACATGTGAACTTTTAACCGACTTCCAAAAAATGAGGAGGTTATCAATTTGTCGGAATATTTTTTTTTTTTATGTATGTTACCGCATAACCACCTCGTGAGCCGATTTCGATAATTCTTTTTGCCTCGGAAAGGTAGTGTCTCAGGGGTGGTCCCATACTAATCTGGTTTAGATCCGATCATTGGATCATGAAATATATATATATATATATTTTTTTTAGGTCGGTTTTTTTTTGCTAAAAATTACTTGTGCCCGCGGTACAATTCTGAAAAACGGCGGGATTAGCGGGTTCGGAAGTTAAAAATTTAATTTCGGGATGGGCGGGATCGGGACTTAATATTTAGTCCCATGCCCATCTTCACTTTCAATCCCTGCGTCACCTAACGGAAGAAAAACACACTCATCTTTTCAAAAATCATTACACACAATAACAATCGTTCAATGCGATTTAGAAATTTGGTAGAAAATGGTACCGTTTGAATAATTCTTGCTATTTTATATGTATTATAGGCGGTGCCACGCCCCCTTTTCCATTATTCACCACTTTTCGGCTTAAAGTACGGTATTAATAGCATATGTGGCTGTGTCGAATTTCAGGACGTTAGCATAAGCGGTTCCAGGGAAAAGAGATAGGAGCATTTCAGTTTGTATGGGAGGTGCCACGCCCCCTTTTCCAAAATCTACTAGCTTTCGCCGTAAGTACGGTGTTGACAACATATGTTGCTGTGTCAAATTTCAGGACGTTAGCATAAGCGGTTCCAGAGATAAGCGATGTAAAATTTCAGTTTGTATGGGCGGTATCCNTTTTATTTAAAATTAATTTCCAAGACATGTGAACTTTTAACCGACTTCCAAAAAATGAGGAGGTTATCAATTTGTCGGAATATTTTTTTTTTTTATGTATGTTACCGCATAACCACCTCGTGAGCCGATTTCGATAATTCTTTTTGCCTCGGAAAGGTAGTGTCTCAGGGGTGGTCCCATACTAATCTGGTTTAGATCCGATCATTGGATCATGAAATATATATATATATATATTTTTTTTAGGTCGGTTTTTTTTTGCTAAAAATTACTTGTGCCCGCGGTACAATTCTGAAAAACGGCGGGATTAGCGGGTTCGGAAGTTAAAAATTTAATTTCGGGATGGGCGGGATCGGGACTTAATATTTAGTCCCATGCCCATCTTCACTTTCAATCCCTGCGTCACCTAACGGAAGAAAAACACACTCATCTTTTCAAAAATCATTACACACAATAACAATCGTTCAATGCGATTTAGAAATTTGGTAGAAAATGGTACCGTTTGAATAATTCTTGCTATTTTATATGTATTATAGGCGGTGCCACGCCCCCTTTTCCATTATTCACCACTTTTCGGCTTAAAGTACGGTATTAATAGCATATGTGGCTGTGTCGAATTTCAGGACGTTAGCATAAGCGGTTCCAGAGATAAGCGATGTAAAATTTCAGTTTGTATGGGCGGTATCCCGCCCCTTTTGAAAAATCTTCCACTTTTCGCCGTAAGTACGGTATTGACAACATATGTTGCTGTGTCAAATTTCAGGACGTTAGCATAAGCGGTTCCAGAGATAAGCGATGTAAAATTTCAGTTTGTATGGGCGGTATCCCGCCCCTTTTGAAAAATCTTCCACTTTTCGCCGTAAGTACGGTATTGACAACATATGTTGCTGTGTCAAATTTCAGGACGTTAGCATAAGTGGTTCCAGAGATAAGCGATATGAGAATTTCTGTTTGTATGGGAAGTGTCATGCATACTTTCCCAGTACCTACCATTTTTCACCACCACCTATGCATCTGTGCTAAGTTTCAGTTCCCTAGCATAATTGGTTTTAGAGATTTAGTGGTTTTCACATATGTCAGATGCCACGCCCCCTATGTATCGGGATTAACATTTCTGGATTAGAGGAAGTTATATCCTTTAAATCGGTGTATGTTTCATTGAAATTGAGCGAACGGTGCCTTCAAAAAAGGGATTGCAAAATTTTCATGTGGCGTATTTATATATCTATAGATAATAATAGATTGGCGCTTACACACATGTTAGTGTCTGACCGAGCTTCTCCTCCGATTTGTGGTGTGCGCCTTGATGCTGTCACAAAAGGGGAGGGACCTACAGTCTTACGCCGACTCCGAACTGCGACTGTATTTTTACGAGAAGCTGTTTTTCATGGCAGAAATACACTCGGAGATTTGCCGTTGCCTGCCGAGGGGCGACCGCTGTTAAGAAAAAACCTTTTTTCTAAATTTGTTTGCGATGTTGCTTTGACCAGGGTTTGAACTAGAGATGGGCGTGGGATAGCGGGACCCGCGGGACCCTCGGTACTGATTTAAAATTGGCCGGGACGGGCGGCATCGGGAAGATCTGTAAAAATATGGCGGGCGGGACGGGACCCAAATCCTTTCCCGACACTGCCGATAAAACCGCAACCCCCGCAAATTCATAAAATCATAATTAAAAACGATGTTTAAAATATGCACTCCTAATGTTTCATTGAGACGAAAACGAACAGCAAAGCAAAACAAAATCGAAAGATGCCAGATCTTTCATTATTATTATTTGAAATTAATTCGAAAGACATGAACATTTTTATCAACCTTCGATCGGTTTGTGAACCACGCCACACACGTTGAAATCTCAACCGTCGTTTGTAGCCTGCTTTAGAGATATATATCGGGACCCGCGGTACAACTTTGAAAAACGTCGGGATGGGCGGGTTCGGGACTTAAAAATCGAATTTCGGGATGGGCGGGATCGGGATTAAATATTTAGTCCCGTGCCCATCTCTAGTTTGAACCCAGGCGTACCAGGAGTGAAAGCGCGCACTGCTTACCACTACACCACAGCGGCCGCCCAGCAGCGGGGAACCAGCATTAACACCGATAATAATATGAGCATCGAAATCCAAGAGTAGGCAATTCAGGAGTAATGGCCACGCCAGAATAAGGGACAAGAGAATTGGGAATATGTATTAATTCGCACATCGTTTGAGTAAAGTAGGCGTCCAGACAATAAACTTTTTTCGAAAATCTAAAGACTGCGATGAAGACAATGAGTTAAGTGTAAATATATTAGTAAAAAGTTGTAAAGGTATTGCTTCAGGATCTAAAAATTAACTCGTGTGAACCCCAAGTATGCCGCCAAAAAGAATACCTGATTTTTGTTTGCAAACGAAACACCTTAATTGTGGCGTATCTTTGCATAACGTACGCCACTTCCTTCGCATACTTTTGCGGTATTGACGTACGAGTACGCATCAGATGGGACTATAAAGTCCGCTCTCGACATACGAAAACCACACTCTATAAGTCACTCATCATGCACGTCCTGGTACATATATGTCGCAAAATGCATGGACTGTGACAACATCCGATGAGGCGGCTCTAAGAATATTCTAGAGAAAGATTTTGCGGAGGAGTTACGGGCCTTTACCCATTGGCGATGGCGAGTACGACAGACGATGGAACGATGAGTTGTATAAGCTTTACAACGACATGGACATAGTGCGGCCAATTAAAATACAACGGCTACGCTGGCTTGGTAATGGCGTGCAAATGGACAGAAGTCCCCACTGCGATGGCAGGTCCAAGTGGAGAAGGACTAGGCGTCAGTTGGCGCAGAAAAGAAACGACTGGCGGGCTGTTTTGGACTCGGTCGAAATTACTTAGGCGGTTATAGCGCCAAATAATTATAAGAAGAAAAACTTTGTGTATTTACTCAAGCGAGTAACGGTCTAGAACCATCAGCAATGTATTTCTAGTCTGGAAAAAGATTCAGTTGGTTATTTTTATGTAACATTAGCTTTCAGCACTTGGACAGATATGGGAACATTGTACTTTCTCTCAAAACAAAACTTTTTAGTTTTTCCAGAATATAAGTCAAAGAAATGCCAAAAAGTTTAAATTTTGGCTGAATTTCTTTATTCATTCTGAACGTTTGGAATAAACTTTTTTGTTTACTTATTCTTTAGAACGTTCCTGATGATATGTTAACGTATATTTCAAAAGCATTCTGTTTATTCCGGCTGTGAAATGGGATTATCCGGAATGTATAAAGAAACGCAGCCTTTGTGTGTGTGGAATGCATAAACAAGGAATGTTGTAGGCATTGCTGTTGTTTTGTTTTAAGGACTTGCATTTATGGAACTGAACGTAAATATTTGTCATCTGATAAACAGAAATTAAATTACGAACAATTATAAGGCTCAACCTATGAAAACGCGTTTTTAGACCTAAAGTCCAGATTTGAGGAGAATACCCTTTAATTCTAAGTATGCATATTTTGTGTGCTTCACTAGATATATAACATTTGCAGTCACAGAGTGTTATTATCCCGACGAAATCCGTGTCGGTGGTACCGGGAGGGGAACGGTACATGACGGTAGGAGGTGTACTTTGGGTTAAAGTATTTAGTACATGTTATATGATGTTAACTTTTCGGAAGGAAGATAAAGCGCCGCAGTGTATCGTATCGCACCTATTTGAGGGCCTTTGGTTTTCATCGTTATCGCATCAAATACGATATCGCATCGCACCGGCAGTATCGCATCTGTTTGAGGTCACCTTTATTCGCATACGGGATATTCTCGAAGTCTTGCAAAGCCCTTGCTCGGCCCACGAATTGCATGGTAAAAACCGGTTTTCCTTTGCGACAACTTTGCAAACCTTGCAAACCGTGCAATCCGTGCACGGTGCAAGATCTTTGCAAGACTTCGAGAATACCGCTATAGTTATGTGCATTCTGAGCAGTATTGCCGTTTTAGCCCTTTGGTGGCCAAATTTGGCTACCAAATTCTTTTCTTGGCCACAAAAATTTGAAATTGCTCCTAGCCCTTTTTTAGCCCTTTTCAAAATTTATTCATCATTGACATTCAAATTTTTTTTATGATTTTCATGAATTTAACTCTTCGCTCATAAAGCGAACGCCTTTCCTTTAAGGCAAGTAAACATATTTCTATGTATGTTCCTTACGTTTCTGTGCCGTTATCTAATCCGTTGACGATTTAACTATACTTTAAAATAGGTAAGTTGGTGGCCCCTAATATGCTTTATGTGTTACACAAAAAGTTTTTTTGTTGAATAAAATAGTTATTCTTTTCAGAGTTCATTGTTTTTCTATACCAGTAATTATACATAAGATACATACATATGCCACGCCCCTTTTCCAAATTTGGGAAAACTCCACATAAAATATCTGCATGATGGCCCGAATATGCCGCATAAATTTGGTTGAATTCGGTGAATCCGTTCTTAAGTTATATTGTCACACCAAAAACGTTCACTTATTTTTATATTTTAGTTAGTATGGGTGGTGCCACGTCCCCTCTTCCGAATTCGGGAAAACTTCG